TGTAAGCCCGCCAAAAGTGGGCTTATACACCCCCGGAGGGGTCCTTCTGGAGATACCCTTAACATACACTCGCACTGTACACACGCATACATTTTCACAATTAATAAAATAGATCTATTATGCTTAAACATTTATTATACATAAAATAAAGACAATACAAACAATATACACATCAGTGCTCTTTCAGCGCTACTGGTAATCTGACGAGAGATGTGTTGATGTGATCATCACATCTCTCATCACAAGACAAAAACGCCGAGTCATAGCAATCTAATTGCTATTAAACTCAATGACTGGCGAAACACCGCTTACAATATGTTTTATTGCTACCACTGGTAATATTTATTATAATTAATAATAATTATTTATTACCTAGCATATTTCTACGCCACTATCCGCCCGGTTCTACGCCTCTGACATTTATTGGCAATATATTATGTAATTATAAAATAACATTTTAAACAATATATTTAAAAAATAATAATTGTTTTAATTAAAAAGTGTTTCACGATATTAAACGGCATTTGAATGAGGACTTGAGACAGTTGTACGATATGTACGGTCCGGTAGTGACGGTATGGGTCGGTCCCAAACCCGTTGTGATCGTCGGTGACCCGCATGTCATTAAACAGGCATTTTCTCGGCCAGAATTCATGGGACGAATGGACAACATGTTGTGTATGTGTAAAATATAATACTACCATGATTATTTTATAATGTGTCTCTATTGTTTTTTGTTGCATTGATAACTTATCAGCAATACTGGGCGCTGGAAGTCATATTAAACTCTCACCTACTCACAAGCAACATGAACAATTTGTCCGCAAAATAATTGTATTTAATGCCGATGTTATAATAGTTTAGGGCAATAGAAATAGATTGAATATTGCTTTAATACCAAACACTCATTTTATTAGTGTCACCTTTGTGTAACATCTATGACAAATAAAATAAGTGATTATTATTCAAGAAATATACCTGACCATAGCTAAAACATGCATACATGAAAAGTAAATTAATAATGTTTTTTTAAATTTAGTAAATACTCAAAAACAATGATTTTTACGCATACTGTGAACACAATGGTTCCTGACATCACTACACAAACAAATTATACAAAATTTTAAGGGTGTACTTGGTAACTATTTTTTAAATAACAAAAACTGAATTATTTATAAGGCTTTATTAGATGAAGAGTCGTTTGAAGTTATAAAGATAAGGTTTCTTTTATTCTTAAGATAACAAACTTTGATCAGCTGTCTATTCACTGCAACAATCATCTATTATCCCCCATTGTGTCACCAATTTTTCAATTTCCTAATTGAATATTAAAATGATTTTAAGACCATAATCTAAAAACACCCCCAATTTGATGACATTTGCCATTTTTAAAATCATTTCTCTTACAGACATTAGAAATGCTGGGTATCTGTGGTAATCAGTAGGGGGTATATCAGTGTTGATGGCAGTGTGGGTATAGATTTTATACTCCTTGTTATTAAACTTTAATTGCGTTTTTATTTTCAAAATTACTTTTATGGGGACTTTTTTAGCATTGAAATAATGTAAAAACACCGTTAATTTAATCGCTAGCCGTTCCTAAACATCTATAAGCGATACTTAATAGTCTATTCCCTGAATCCCTACCCTATGAACATATCCTCAGCCAACATGTTTGGCATCGGAGTCCCGAACCAGTTTCAACACTCCCGATAAGTAACCAAACATCGGGTGACCACCACGGCTACAATCAAGGGCGCGGTACATTTTTAGCTATAGTGGTCATTCATGCACACTCATATAATTTACATTATAAGTGAGTTTAATTTTTCGGGTGAGCAATCGCGTCAAATAAACTCTTTATAAATTTGTATAAAACTATGCTTAATATGTGTTACCGTACGGGTGTCCAGACATTGGTTGGACAGATATTTATATGCGATTTGGACATAACTAAATTAAAAGTAATAATCAATAGATATTTCAAGCCAATAGTGGGCACAATCATCGATTGAGAACAGTAAAATAATTAATTTACAAAAAACCGCATTTTGAACGACTCTTGAACTAATAAATCTATATATTAATTTGTGATGAATAGATCACTAGTAATATTAAAATACTTACTCTGACTCGACATATGAATAGTGACTTCTGTTTTATGCTAATTATTAATGTTTGAAATCTCATTATGAGTAATAATATCCAAATTGTATTGAAATGCTATAAAATATATTCAGTCTAAAATTATCCCTTAAACAGTTTGTTTGCCTTTTTGTAATAAAAGCATTTTTCATTGAATACCGCGTGTATTTCATTGGAGGTCTTTTGTCCTAAAAAGTAGGACACGGGACCGCTCTTACGAGCCCTAAAAAGGCAGCAAACCATAGGGATTGTCCGGAAGGACCCAAAGACTCAACAGCGACAACAGGACTACTAATTGTAGTCATTTAACGGTAAGAGGACTTCTACTCCGAGAAGTCCTATCAGTGGCCAACGCCTGTTCACCACCCATAAGGCTCTACCATCTACACCAAAACCGGGTGAACAGCCATTCCCACCACTAGATGCCAATTATTTTATAACAAATTTATATAATTTAAAGTTTGCACTAAAAAATACTACAACAACGGCCGCCTCAATTGGTCCTCAATCCGCGGACCACACTTTTGGACATTATTATCAATATATAGTAAACGGTTAACATTACATGAGTTATCATGATTCTACTTTATTATATTAATACTCAAAATTATTATTGTTTTAACCTATAAATAAGGTTATAAATAGAGACCTGATAGCGAATAATACAATTATGCTACAATATGTGCATGAGCGATGAATACTGACCTGGCTAAACTGAATATGATACGTGTCAGTTTCTGGATGTACATGAGCATTTTGTGACATTACCCTCATACCATTGCTCATACCATTGTTCATTGTGCCGGACTTCGTGTCTGTCCCAAGAGAAGTGATGGCTACTAATATTGTGTTTACATTATTTAATTTGATTAATTATATTTAATTTTAATCAGTATTTGACTTTAATAGCTGGAAAATATTGCCAAAAACTTATTATTTATGCTTAATTTAAATAGTACAATGTTCTTTTAATCAGTTTGATATACTATTTCAGGCGATATTATGTCATTTTTAGTGAAAGGGTACAATACAATCTAAATATCATAGAATAGAATTTTAAAAAACGCTATTTTACTAATACTGATTAAGTATTTCATGCAATATTAAGTCACGAGAAAAGGTGCATACTTTTAAACAAAATAGAAAATAAATTTATTATAATCAAATTAGCAATTTTTAAAATGATTTAATAGGTTACTTATTTAAAACTACAAGAATTAATAGTATAATCTTATTTATTATATAAAGTGGTATAGTTTTAAGCAATTGTATAATTAAAAACATTTATAAATCTATTAATCTGTAAAATATCAACAATACTCGAAGTTTAGCTAAAAATTGTGGAATAAATTATCAATAATGTATTGTTAGTTTTATTTAGTTAACTATAAAGTGTATCAATTATTTAAGTTTTTATTATTTATAAAATATAATAAATAGAATAGCATATACTTAAAATAATAAAACACATATAAATAATATAATGCAACTAGTTTATTCTCTCATGAGATGCAATTGTTTTAATTGTAAAAATGTTTTAACAATCTGTTTATATTTTGCACATTATTTCTGCAGATGTTTTATGTAATTAACCCCTCATTTTTTTTATTTTAGCACAAATTATTGTACTTATAATAAACTTTATATGTTTTAAATTAAAACATATCTCCAAGAACATAAAGTTTTAGAAATATTCAATAATAACTTTCCATATTATACATTATATTATTCTTAAGCAAATATCTTATATCTAGATCATATAAATGATATTTTATGGTGATTAGAGTATGAAATCAAACAAAGTATAATTTGAATTAATTTGATATTTGATTTTGTATTATAGAAACTCTCTTTTAATTTGATTAGATGGCAATACTTGTCTAATGAGACATTTATAAAACAACATTGTTAAAATACTAATTATTTTAAGTTTTTATTTGCACAGGTCATAATTTCATCTATTCTGTTATAAATTTAATAGAATTTAAATATCATATAAATTATTATAACCCAAAGAATGTAAACAAACACTACAGACAATTACACACAAAACTTTATATACTCTTAGAATATACTGATTATCAAAATAGCCAAAAGTACCCCAAAAGTGACACAATTTGGCCCCTATTTAAGTCCTCATCTCTACAACACATTTACAGTCATTATATTTTTACAAAAATGTAAACTAATATTAAATACACATCATTTGTATGTCTTTTACACTATTTGTAAGTAATTAATAAAATTGTATTTTAGTTAAAATTCTGTGTAAAGTACTAAATTAAAAAGTTATTAAAATTTCTAAAAGTATACATATTTGGTTTAAAATAAACATTATAAATACAGACTGCAAAAAAATGCGTTTTTGATGCTTTTACACAGAAAAAATTATTTATAATTCATTATTACAAATACTAAAGTTGTGTTCAAAGCAATGAATCAAACATTACTTGTATATAAAGTTAAGTTTTTCAGTGACTAACGCATCAAAAACGCATTTTTTTGCAGTCTATAATTATAAAGTTTAAAACTTTACATTAAAACCTCTCTATTTAAAAGGCGTTATATCCTAAAAATGGGTTGAATTAAATGAGTGTATATTAAGGAAATAAATAATTAATTTAGTTTAAAATTGGCCGCAACTGAGAAGTGCAGGGTGTTATTAAAGAGAGTGGTCATACTGTCCGGTATATTGTAGTTTAAACTAATATCAAAGTAATACAAAATATTTAATATAATTATAACTTGGTTTTCAACTTGTAGAAGGCAGTAACTTTCTAATAAAATGAAATATATTTCAACAAAAATTAATTATCAAAAGTCATTGTATTTTTTTGCACTAAACAAGTACTCATATATTGGCCATCAATTGAGATATTAATTGTTATAATTTATGACAACTTTCAAGATCTAAAATATATTATTATTCGTTGAAATAATTTTTAATGACTTGATATTTAGTGATATATTCTTTAGTTACAAAAGTGGTGAAAGTGATCTATCACTATCAAAGCGAAAATAATAACAATATAAAAGTATTTCAATGTCACTGTTAAGGTTACAGTATTTTTTATTATTACACAAGTAATACACAAAAATTACTTTTAAAATATTTTTAAATTTTAAATTAAATATTAGATAATCAGAGTAATAGATTTATTTACACACACAATAAATACTGTATATTTATTCCTAGAATATACTGAATATCAAAATAGCCAAAAGTACCCCAAAAGTGACCCAATTTGGCCCCTATTTAAGTCCTCATCTCTATAACACATTTACAGTCATGAATATTGTATATAAAAATGTCAACTAATATTAAATTTACACAATTTATATGTCTTTTACACTATTTGTATGTAATTAATAAAATTGTATTTTCTTTAAAGATCTATGAAAAATACTAAATTAATAAGTTATTAAAATTTTTAAAAATATACATATTTGGTCTAAAATAAACATGATACAATACACCCTCTCTATTTGAACTGGGCAATTTTTAAAGCAAAGCACTTACAAAACAGGCGTTTGTCCTAAAAATGGGTTGTAGTAAATGTGTAGTGTATTAAAGAAATAAATAATGAATTTAGTTTAAAATTGGCCGCAACTGAGAAGTGCAGGGAGTGGTCATATTGTACGGTATCGGGGTTTCGGTTATATTTCCATAGTGTTTTGTAACATTGTATTTGAATGCTTGCCAAATTTTTGTGGTTACTATCAACAAACCCTTGTAAATGTTATTTGATACATCTATTATTTAGTTTTAATTCTGTATATAAAAATTATTAAATTTATTTTAAAAACTATTGATTTAACCCGAAATAAACTATGGAGAATAATTCGAAAATTTAGTCTATTTTAACTTTTAATCGAGGGGACTACACAAGAGACCTACAAAAATAATATAT